ATACTACTTGATCAGTATGAAAAATATCAAGATCAAAGAGCCAAATCTAGCCGCAAGGAAAAGCCCAAGAAGCTCAGTCACTTCAAGGAGATTCAGTTCACAAGGAAGGAATGGGCGACAATTAATGAATTGAATAAAGAGTTAGAAGTAAGTAATTTGTGTAATACTAATATATTCAGATCTTAGTTACAATCACCACGGATGTTTCCAAGGCACTTTCATGCAAGTGCCTTCATGTAACCTTCTTCAGCAACTCCATCATAACTGTTGGTGAGTAGTGATGGTGTCAGTCCTAAGGCTGTTGTATCTCAGGCTGATGTCATGTGTAACTTTGTTTGATGTCAAGCTCAACAGTTGCCAAAGTCAATCTGATGTCATATTCTACTTACAGATGACTTGCTGCCAAGAAAAGTTTGCATATATTTTTCATTTATCCAATGTGCATAGCAACAGCCTTTCCTGCATTAAAACACCTTGTAGGATGATGATACAATTGGTGTTAGTAATGACACATGTTTTGTCTGTTAGTTACTTTCACATATGTTTGGTTTTGTTTGGAATTGATCAGATCATGTGATGTTGACGTTAAGATCACATTGTTAAGATCACATTGAACTTGTGGATCAAGAAGGACACATGAAGTACCATATCTTTGTGAATCTATATCACTGTCATGGTATATTCTGGATGAAAGAATTTCCATGAGGCTGTGCTCTACAGGTTTTGGTACATATCATATTCAAAGTTATGGACAGGCAATAGTTGTAACAGAGTTTGAATTTACGTTAAGGAAGTGCAAATAGGTAGCAGGATCTTCCTAAATTGGGAATAATACGAATATAATTTACAATTTAGATTGATTGAACTACAAATGAGCAATAGAGCAGGAGAGTGCTTCATTTAATTTTATCACTTTTTCATTTCCATTTTCTTGAGAAATTAAACTCAAGAGTACAAGGGTGGGCACCTACGCTCAAGAGGTCTTTTCTCTGAAGATTTATGAAGTGGAACTTAGATAGTAATTTTGTAGAGAAAATGTGTTTTCAAAATTAAATTCTTCAAGTTTGAATATATAAACCTCAAGTGTTTCACCTCTCCTCATGAGGTGTGCTGGATTTTAGAGTAATCTTTCCTACACAGCTGTTTTTTTGAGCATTAAAACACACATATTATTCCATATTTCTTAATATCTTCTACAATATACAATCACACAACTTTAGTTCTGTCAGCTAAGATGAGTTTTGTGTGATCCTTCCCCCAAATTTCTAATAAGATGAATGGGTCCATTTATCTTTTGGTGAAGGGTGGATGGAAAGGATTGGTTTCCAGTAGCTATCCTTTTGGAAAGATTCAATAATTTTAATGAGGATCACAGAGGATGTATGGTAGACTGAGTGTATAATGTAAGATATTTTTGGAACCCACAAATTCTAAATGAGGGTGAAAACAAAATCCAAAGGGCCACTTTTTTTCTTGAATTGTATGTATTTAAGAGAGATGTGTAGAACAAGGAGCTCATATCATGTATATATTTATAGGAGGTAAAGGAGCTAGCAAAAGGAGATGAATATATGGAAAGAAAATAAAATAAAACAATCATTTAAATATTACAACTTCTTCTGGGCGTTGGATACTTGTTTTTCTTGCCCAGCCACCTCAAGGAAAGGAGCTGTGCCGTTGATATGAGCAACTACAGCATTAGACATAGCTTCAGACATTTGACAAGAGAAACCAATACGTGTGTACTTGCCAGATGGAGAAGCTCCTGGCAGGGTCTGATGTGTGTAATCCCTGGACCTGAAAACACAGAGAGCAACACCTAGAACATGATGCAAGTCCAAGCAAACCTGAAAGTCCCTAAAGGTGAACTGACCTCCCAACATGTCAAAGTCATCATCGGCCAAAATGGGGTCGTCCTCAGAGCAGTTGCGTGGGTTGAATATAGGAATCCAGCAAACAAGAGTCCAATGATTGGCGTCGGTGTCGCAGTGGGGTCCATTGTGGAAGTCAAACATAGTGAAGGTGAGAAAAGAGGCAAAGTCGAGAGCATCATACGGTAAAGGATATTCCATGTGAGACATGGATGGGAGGTTGTTTTCAATCAAGGTTTCACGGTATTTTTCAAAGACGCCGGGGGCAAGATGTTGGAGCTGGATTGAGATGAAATCACTTGCTTCTTTGATTGAGGCAGCTTCGTCTTGAGGATTGTAGTTGGCCAGGAGCATCATCTTGACAAGTTTTCCAACGGAGCAGTAACGTCCAAAAGATTCCTTTTTTGAGCCCTTGCGCCATCCATCAGCCCACATAGATCCATCCATTTGAGGCCCGTTGTTTTTAACTGCGGCAACATAGTTGGTCCTGTCAAAGAAGTGACAAACAAGTTTTTCCCAGCCTTGAAGCTCTTCAGCAGACATCGTATCGAAAGGGACGTATTTGACCTTGCAGAATGGCGGTTCACCACGAGGCGCAGCAACACAGGTGCCATGGGTGAAGTGTTGGTAAAGTTGGAGAGTTTGTTGGGTTGTTATTGCTTCAGAAGGTTTGGGGTCAAACTGGTGGCTAGGGGGGACGAGGTAGACAAAGATCTTTTCTTTTTGGTTATTGTTGGTGTCGTTGTTGTTAGATTGGGTGGCGGAATGGGTAGAAGAAATTCCCTTCTCATCTTCTTGTTCTTGAGATGGATTAGTTGAGGCGGCTTGAAATGGCTGAAGTGCGGTCTTCTTCTTCAACTCCCAACGCTTAACGTTTTTACCTGGACGGACGCGTTTGCGTTTTGACGTTCTGGGGAGGGCAAACAGAACCGGTGAGCATCATTGCACTGTGTCAGGAATAGCGGGGCAAGTTGGATCTCAGTTATTGTGGATAGGGTGGGGTCTGAATAGATGCTCAGTCCAACCAAACCCTATCCACATCACAGTTTGTCCTGTGACCTTTCTTTCATTGGAGAATCAGTCGGGCAGGGCCTGAATAGATGCTCAGGCCAACAGCACCAATCCTCCTCTGATATCCAGGTCAAGGGACAAGCTGGGAAGAGATAGGACCCCTTGGTCTATCTTGGGAGGGTTGAGCGAGCCTGAATAGATGCTCAGGCCAACAGAATCAACCCCCTGCCAATAGACCAAGGAGGGAGAGAGGGGATGGAATATTTATAAATGGGGAGGCTTACTGCTGTTCCCCATTGATAGTAGATCGATTGAACAATCCATTGTCGTTTTCTTCATTGTGTGAGGTGGTTGGAGCCCTGTTGTACATCACTGGATGAGAAGGGAGATGTTGGTGTTGATTAGATGAAGATAGAAGTGACAGGTAGATTGCTAAGGCCAGTGGAAACAATCATTTATTTGATTTGTGAAAGAATTGAATGGATGAGTAAGAACATCAGATCAGTCAGCAGGTTGATGATGTGCTTAAGCGATTGAAAAAAAGAAGAGGCACTAACCTGTAGTGTTGAGGATGAAGTGGGCTGTGTAGACAACGGTCCCAAACGATAACGATCGATAACGATTGATAATGAGAGCTGGTAGCAGAAGGAGAAGGATGTGAGGTGAATGAGTTTTTTTTTGATGTGTTGTGGAGGTGGGTAGGGTAAAAGATAGACAGCGAGTGATACAAACAATATTGTCCAAACGATCAATCACAGAGCAAGAGGGAGCTGTGAGATTGTTTGTCAGTGAATTAAACGATTAATCGCTTGAACAGTTCAACGATTGACCGAACAAGCAATCAAACAATCGGTGGAGTGAAGGAAGAGAGAGAGGAGGGGATCAGCAATCGTTGTTCAGGTTTAGGGGGTTGAAAGTTTGAGAGGGAGAAACTTACCAAAACAATTTTGGGGAGGCTGGTGGTGTGCTAGAGACTGTGCTGGGTGAATTGATTGATCGATTAATGAAAAAGCAAATGCAATTTGTTCCAGGGAACAAATGAGGCTTTTGGTGGTTGTGAGAGCGACTGTGGGAGGAGTTGAGGATACTGAGGAGGGGTTGAAGGGAGCTGAGGGGAGGAGACGAGGTGGGGTTGATGGGAGAGGCTGTGGCTGGATGGCTTGCTGGTTGATTGAGGACCAAAAAAAAAGAGTATGTACATCGTTTGATTTTCCGAGTTTGGCATGCTCAAAGGGGGTTTGATTGGAGCCCTCTGCCTAGGCGAAGTTTGAGAGCCTCAGCCCTTCCCAGCTGCACTTCTGACGCGAATTCTTCAGCACATTCAATTTACATGTCTCAAATTGACTGGTTCTGCTGACAGTAAGATCTGGGGAGGACCATAGGGTCCAAAAAGTATGTATCTACAACATTAAAGCCCACATTTTGAACATCCCAAAAAATTCTGAACACAGAATGAATGAGAAAAAAACAGCCCTTGTGAGAGGGCAAGAAGGGGAGATATACATACATTTTTTCAGCACCGGGGAAGCCAATATCATTCAAGTAGAGCAACTTGGACAACATGTCCTCAACTAAGCTGTGGTGGTGGCTGTAGGATGTAGGAGGAAGGAATGTGAGTGCCTTGGCACAGCTTCATAAATGATACAATACTAATGTGTGGTAAGGTTTGAGTGTTCTGTGGAGCACAGGCACGTGATTGTGGTTGGCTGAAAAAGTAGCAGAATCATGGTTGTTAAAGCATGATTTGGAAGATCCACAAGGGGACCACTCAGAATTGCAGCAACCTGAGAGGGGAGACCCATGAGGAGGCCATAGCTTTGTGAGTGATGGATGGTGGTTGTGTAAAAGGATTGATTAAGTGGGGCTATGATTGGAAAAGAAGCAAGATTCTCAATAACAGACAAATTTGTATCCTATGACACCAACTGAAATGTGCCAATGAAAAAAATTGCATTGGCAAAGGGAGGATGTTATTCTGACTTGTACTGTAAGGAAATAGCAAACCTCAATTGCATCTGGTCCAAGGAACCTCATGAGGAGTAGACTCATCCCTCAAATAATAGTGTGTAATGGATGGCTGTAATTTTATGGCCAGATCTTTCCCTCAAAGGAGAGGATTGCTGACAGTCCTATTAATCTGGATTGCCACAAGATTAAACCTATTAAACTCTAATGTGTACAAGAATTGAAAGAGCCAGACTGGGTGTGTGGCATGAGGAAAAATTAGCAGTGCATTATTACTAATTGGGGAGCTGATCATCCTGTTTTGTGATAGATTTTTGTGCTGTAGATTTCTGGCTGTAGAAATTGGGACTCGTTTCTGGTGAGGCCGGGGCAGCCCAATTGTAATCATAGATTTAGTAAGTAATCTGGCTAAATTTTATGCCACAGGCCTGTGAATACTTATTGTTTTAGGTCTATCCATAGGTCTTTCACAGCAGGGAATGTGTGGGAATTGAGGAACTACTGGATTGTGAACATTACAGAGCCTTTAGCTGTGGGAGTTTTGATATGGGGTTTTGACTGAGATGGTTAAAGAACAATGCTTACTTTTGGGTGTATTTTGATTGCAACAAGGCGAGAGGGACATCTGTCAGGAACTTCCAACACAATTAAGGCTTGGGGGTCAGGTCAGTGGGATTGTTATCGTTTGAGTAGGCAAAATACATTTCTATTCTTCTGATACAGCTGCATTCAAATGATAAGCTGTCTTGGAAGCATGATGGAGTCTGGATGGACCTCTCTTGTTAAGTGGGGGAGTTGGGGCATTAAATGAACAACCTCTTTTTCTCTCAGGATGTATATTATGATTCTGCTGCGGGTTCACACTGATACTAAACTAGTGGAGGGATAGATACACTGGGCGACAGTTTGTTGAGGTGGAGTTTATTGCATGTCAGTAGGGTAGAAATGAGGGGATGGGTAGGCCAGAGTGTGAAACACAAAGCTACAGATGATTTGATTTGAACGTGAGTATGCTGAGGCAAGATAGTAAGTGGGTCCAAGAGCTGTTATTCATATTATTTCCAGTTGGCTGGCCAACAAGGCAGAACACTTATACTTGAAACTGCAGTGCACTTGAGGCAGGGCTGCTTTGTCCCAGATGAAACTGATACTTTTGACGAGGGGATAATCGTACGCATGTGGGTGTTTAACTGATGTTGAGGCTGGATGAGCTTCTGGCAGACAGGTAACATGAATTTTTGTGCGATGGTATGGGTTGTCACCAAAACGTACGCGCGTACGTTTTGGTGACAAGGACTGGTTGAATGCCAAAGTGGGGAAGGTGTGGAGTTTATGTAGCCCCTCCCATGAAGCTTTTTGATTAGAATAGTTGCGGCAGGAGAGAGGCCGGTATGTGTGGGGAAGGGCAGAGGGTATTTTTGGGTGGTGTGAGCACTGCCTTTGTGTGTGGTCTCCCAAATAGGGGCTACGTAACCCCAGGCCTGCAGAATTGGGTAATATGACCGTGGAGTCCTTTCAGAAACTAAACAGATCATTGTTTGGTTTTATTAATGGCCCGTACTTCCCCCATGCCCAACCACACATGCACCAAGTACCAAACAGCAGCCTTTGTTTCTCCAATAGTGTATTTACTTTCTTCCTTCTCACTTCATCCCTTTCAATTATTAAGACCTTATTGATTGCAGGGATATACTGCCGTTCACTGTGTTTGTATCTTTGGGTGGGTGGTGGAACAAATGAGTGTAGCTCTCATCCCTTTCATGAAAGTTTGAACCTGCAAATGCAGCGGTGTAGGCTCTGGGACCACAGTGGTACCTTTGGATGCCGCCTCAAGGTCCTCCTTCCTTTAGGAACTTAAAAGGTGTGTGTGGAATGATGATCAATCCCCCCTCACTCCCATCTACATCTCGGCCAGCACTACATTTAAACTTTTCCCTGGATTCCTGATTAGATTTGGTATTTAATTAACATCATCTCAATGTTTGAGATATCCGGAAACATCCACCTTTCTCTAGCTGACATGTCCTCAATCTGTGGCGCGTCAGATAATACTATACATATAACCAGCGTGATTAGCTCCCCAGAAATTGTGCATCACAGTCAATATTCCGAACTCTCAAAATTTTACATTATACTACAGTCAAATAGCTCAGAGCCCCCTCCTTTCATACATGAGCCAGAAACGGAGATTTTTTTCACCGGTCACCTTATTGCTAGTTTGTTTGGTAGTTACCCTGTGATTAAGGTTGGAGCGGGAAAGTGGGTGTTCCACCGGGGACAACACTATGAGCTGGTGGAGGAATTCAGTAAGGCGCGAGTCTGGGGATCTGGATATGTGACTCAAGTCAAACACAATCGGAGTGCTCCCCGACGAAGCTATTTGACTGTTTTGGACCCTACACCAACATCGGTAAGTATTCTAGTAAAGTAATATGGCATTGATTCATTTTCTTGTTTAACTGAGCTAGACGTACTGTGGCTTGATTGCAGGGGGCCTGCATCCGACTTCTTGCCTGGGACTCGGAGATTTTGGGTCAAATGAGTCGGATTAAACGTGGGAACTGGATCAAGTTTAGTGGGAAAGCTGGGATCGACGCGTATAAGGACTCCCACATTGCGGAAACAACCGTAAGTAATCCTCTGCAACTACATTTCACTCTTGTAGTGCCTTATGAAACTTAACGGCTGTGGTGTGGGAAGTTATATGGCCTGGAACTCTTAGGACGGTCAGAATCAACCCAATATTTCCTCAGGACTAATCCCAAAACCATTCGAGAGTTATCCGTGGACGAATGGGCCCCGGAGAAGTTAACAAAAAATAAGGGAAGAAAAAAGAGATCATTCTATTCAACCGCGAGGAGATTCAGATAAACACTCCAGCCAATTCTATTATCTTTCTGTATTTGTTGGTATATGTCCAATATGGGTTTGCCCTGAAAGTAGTATCACTTCTGGTTCTTCAACCGCAAGATTAGCTTAGTTTCTTTGATAACTGTCAACCAAAAAAATTCCAGTCCTTGGGAGGGGCCTCACTTTTTTCATAATTTTTCTTATTTAAAAAATCCCCACTTGTGTATTCTCAGTGATGCTTGTCAATGAATCAACTGTAAGACTCTTGCGGTCCAAAGTTTTCATACTCTTTCAGTAAAAAGGGCAGTGCATGGAGGCTAGCCACTGTGTTGCATGCAATGAGACTCAGGAGGTGTATGCTTTGTTTCACAAGCTTGCTTGTCACGTGTGTGGAAAACCTGAGCAATACCTTGGCAGACGTGAAGGCAAATGGAGGCTGTGAACTGCAGGAAACTAATAAATACCCTTCAATTGCTCTTTGGCAAACAAAGTGGAAGTTTTCTTCCACTTTCCCTGGCAGAAATTTTCTCACCCACTCAGTGTGTGAGGCGGAATATCTAGAGGCTGATGTGCTGGTCAGCCAACATCACGGAGTCTTTATGGACTTCTAAAAAAGACTTATCCAGTTATCCAACATGAGCATGTGGTGAAATAACAAAAAATGCAAGGAGACCCAAGATGCCTGGGTCCCTGCAGCTGCACTTCATATGATGTTAGGAGGGGGTTGGGACTTCTGGCAGCCCACAGGGATTTATTAGTTATTTCTGGAATACTGATGACAGGATTTAATGTGTGGTATTGAGTTTCTGACATATCATATGTAACTACCCGCAGGCTGTGGTCAGGGGTAACAATGATCTGTCCTTTAAAATGTGGAGCTTTTGCA